AGAAAAAATATAACCATTGTCATGTATATCAGAGATGAACCTTGTCTTTGAAGACAGATTTAAGTCACAATTTTTATCAAATTTTTATTTGACACTAGACAGCGATACCCATTCCTACTGACGAGGGCCTTGTCCTCTTAACACATTCAATTTTCAAAAATATAGATTCTTTTTACAAGGATATTCATTGGTTCAGTAGCTTTAATATCTTTCCCATGCCATTTCCTGTGTAAATCACTTACGTAGCATCGTTTTTTAACTTTTTTTCAATACCAGTTTCTTCCTGTACCATTTTTCCCGTACATATTAAATTACCTTCATATTCATATACTGTAGTAAAACGTAAGGGGGGGGGGGCAATCAGCCTTTCAGTGAACATTCAATGAACATTTTTGATAGTAAAAATTATATCTGAAAAAAAGTGCCCTCCCCTGTTGCTACGTGCCTGAATCAAGCTATTTCATATAATTCCGTGCTAACCTGAATGGGTTGGAGTCCATTCTGAAACCGCGTGTGTTCGATAGTGATTGCGTGCTCAATATCTACAACGAGCGGTCAAGTTGAGCATTATATATGACACAGCCGTGGGAGGAGTTTATTTTAAATCCATTCATTTGATTGGCTGAGGTTCTGTTCTAAGTCAGTAAGATCATATGAAGAGAAATCTTCGTCACGAAGAATGGGCTCCGCTTCGCTCCGCCCATTCTTCATGACGAAGATTTCTCTTCATATGATCTTACTATTACATATATATTAAAATCTTGCATAAAAGATTTGAGTGCAACAGGTATTAACATGTGTTTGTTATATACATCTACGCATCATTGCTGATCATTAACATCTTCCGTCTTCTTGTTATTCTTAGGTTTCTTTTCCACTATTTTTCTTAATTTCGAAAGACCTTTCCCATATTTGATAAAACTTCGAAAGGTATATGAATGACCCAAGAAATCTCCATGTTCTAGACGGAATACTAAGGTGGATAAATGCAAAGAATATAAAAACCATACCGGTTTCAGAAAACGTCGTTGAACTGAATTACAGTCAGTGATTTCAGAACTGCCAACCCTTACGATTTTGGCGTAAGTCTTAAGAAATAAGTGTCCAAAATACGCCTTACGATTTCTCGCTATATGCTTCCGATTTCGGTTTTTTCCCAATCAGAGTTTAAAATATTGGAATTTTCATAACTGGCCGACAACAGTTTCTAGTACTATTATAATTAAATACTCATAATTCGTACAACGATTGCTTGCATCATCGATTCGGTTTTAGATGGCTGATCACATTCATGTTAATGTTTGAAAGTAAACAAAATGGAAATGTGCCTTTAATTGCTCCGATTGCACGTCCATTTTGACATTTTCAAAACATCGTCAGCGGCAGGGGGCTGAGGCGGTCCCTGGACCATGTCTTACTGTTTTTCATTTCAGAATGTTGGCAGCTCTGTGATTTCCAGGTGTGGGTATCAGGAATCGAGGCATAGATTAAAAGCAATCTTAACTATTTTTTACTCTGTTTTAGTATCCAGGCTGATAAAACCATTACTGTAGATTCCTAAATGTAGCGTGGAATTAATTATCGCATAATTTCGCGAGAAGCACAACAATTAAATCACTCGCCTTCATTTTTATGCTGCTGAAATCTATGTTATAACTCTTGATCAACAGTCCATTTGCGAATTTTTATTCTCGTGATTTGATGTTGAAGAGCCCATCTGCGATAAAAAGTACTCGCAAAAAATAAGGAATATACAGGGGTGTTAGCCAAAATAATTTCATGGTAATGATGATGAAGGAAGCCCTGTTCTCGCCAGGGCTCGGGGATATAAAACACAAAACTCAATGGATAAAAATCATATCCAATCACAAATCATGTGAGATCATATATTTTTACGCCTATGAAAATTATCTTAATATTGGAAGAAAAACACTTCTTAGCCTGATTTGATAATTTGCACCAGATTTGGAAATTCGCAAGAACATAAATTTTTTCTGTAAATATTTTTTACGCTTATGAGGATTGTCCAGTCTTGAAAACAACTTCCAATCGTGATCACAGGTACTTGTGGACAGGACCCCCCCCCCCCCAACTATACACCCCTGGTCAAAATATTTTTTTTTCTTTTTTTCTCAAGAATTATGTTTCTAGTACTTATTTACAATGTATTCCATATGAAAAACCCAAAAAATAACATAGATTTAACGATTTACCAAAAAAGTCATACCCTGGTATTATAAAATAGAGAAGGTAAGTCACTTCGGGTTGTTAATTCGGACCCCTCTTGAATATCGGGCCTAAAATATCATATACCTATTACATGTCACCAAAATGTCTAGTCATGCCTTAATTCGGTAGAGGTTTTTGTCGTAAATCGTGCCATTTTATCAACCAAACATTTTTCTGTTATCCCTTTATTAACCGTCAAACGCCAAAAATCCAGAAATGTCAAAGCAGAAATTACGGAAGTGACGAAAAAACGACACCTCGTAGTAATTTACTACAGGAACGATAACTCCACTTCTGTACTCGGAGAGTTCCGAATGTAATAGAACCAACGGAAAGAGCCGAAATTTGCGAAAAAAAAAGTACGGGAAATATTTCGGCGGTTGTTTTAAAGCGCAAAAAATAAGGAAAGAGATGAAATTAAGCAAAGGTATTCAAAATGAGTGAAAAAAATATTTCTTCTTTATACATCTGGTTACTAGAAAATTTTGAAGCTTCCACAGGCACTGAATACGTTGATTTACAGGACATTATAACAAAATTCAAGGGTACAGTGACTGGTCTTGCAGTAGGAAATATAATAAAGAGGTTATTTGAAAATGTCACAATAATACAAGTTCGCCCAAAAGATGACTGGTCAAAATTGACAAAGAGATATTTGGGAATCTCGTGGAGAAAATCCCCACTGTCTGATGTTCCTTTCAGTGAAATAAGTTCAATTATCCCAGAAGATTTTTTTTTGCTTTCAAAGACTGCAGACTGTATTAAATTAGGTCATTTTACTGGTGACATAATAAACAATAACAAAGTAATGATTGAAATTTCTCTGAAAAGTGATAAAATTTGGCATATGAATATTCGTGGAAGAACTATTAAACCAGCAAGTCTTGGCATCAATGAACAAAATGAACATTACAGTTTCAGCACAATATTCCAAATTATAAGACACCTTTCTTTTTGCAAAGGGGCTGAGAAAATTGGGGAAAATAAAAAGAAAACTACCTTTTTTGAAGAGCACTTGTCCAAAGTTGGTGATGAAAATTTCAGCAGTATTTGCTTCCGCTCAAAAAACTGTATAAATGTTTTACCAATTCAAGCTGCGACAAATATGTCATTTATCTGTACCTTTTGTAAAAAACTCCAGAGATCAACTAAATATCAATCTGATAAAAATGAAGAACAGTCTGAATCAAATGTTGAAAAAAAATCATTCTTCAAAAATACAAATAATTGCAGATGCAATCCAAGTGAACTCTGTGTGGAAAGTGATGATTTGCATAATACAGTTACATTGTGTGAAGCAGACAATAAAGACATGTCTGAACTGTTGAGCAAAATTTTTCCTGATTGTACTGACAAAATGAAAACATTTTTAAAGTCACAAAAAATAGCACTTGATAGACATCCCAATGGGAGAAGGTGGAATAGGGATGTAGTTCGGTTATGTTTAAATTTGTGGTGTAGAAGCCCTCGTGGTTACACAGATTTAAGAAATAGCAAGTTTTTGGTTCTTCCCTCTCAAAAACTCCTACAAAGAGTTAAAAATGAAGTTCATCAAGAGGCAGGATTCTCTAAAGAAGTGCTTCATTGGATGAGGAATGAAGCCCAGCTGAAGAAAATTCCACCAGAGGGGTTTGAGGGCGGCCTAATATTTGACGAAATGTCTGTGCAATCAGACCTACAATTCAAGAAAAAAGATGGTGAAATTCAATTAATTGGATTCTCAGAATGCACTCCTGAGTCCATTGTTTTTAACCAGATCTCGTCAAGTAAAAGACAGTTACCTTTAGCAACACATGCCCTCCAACTCCTGTTTTTGGGGTTTACAGGGTTCAGATTCCCATTTGCCCATTTTCCCTCAACTACAGCCTCAGGACATGAACTTTACTTGTTACTTTGGGAATCCGTGAATATGTTATCAAGTTTTGGTTTTAAAATACAGTATATAAGTACCGATGGGGCTCAGTCCAACAGAGACTTATTCAAGCTTTTACTACCAGAATTTAGCACAATGAACCCAGTACCTGCTCATTCAAAAACATATATTGTCTAGATAACCCCCAAATTTTTTTCATAATGGACATCTCCCATGTGATAAAAAAATTCGCAATAACATATTGAAAAGTGGTACTGATGCTAGCTGCAAGAGACATTTAATGCTCGGTGATAAGTACATTGAGTGGAATCATTTTAGGAAAGCTTATGTATGGGACATATCATCTCATGCATTTCCAGTACACCATAAATTATCCCAAGAACACTTGTTTATGACACCTGAGGCCAAAATGAGGAATCACTTAGCTGAGGATGTACTAGATGGGAATATGCTACATCTCATGGAACTTTATCAAGATAGTCTTGGTTCAGAAGGGTCACAACTGGATGTGACAGTTAAACTCCTAAAATGTACTAGTGTCCTCATTAAAAACTTCAGAGATACTAGACCTGTCACTGATGTAAGTGATGATCGTTTGAAAGAAAATCATGATGCAATGGATTGGTTCGTACATTGGGAGAATAGCATAAAAAAACAACAAAACAATAAAAAATAAAGAAAAGCATTTAATTTCACACCAGACTAGACAAGACATTATATCATCTGTGCTTGGTTTTGAGGAGCTCTGTCTTTACAAACTGAAAAAATCAAATGCCTCCATTATTCCATCAAGAACAAACAGTGATGTTATAGAAAATGTTTTTTGTCAACAGAGGACACTACATAATGGGGCTAATACCAATCCTACCTACCTAAGATACTGCAACACAATGAATTCTGTTATTCTAGGACACGCCTCTGTATCGAGGAAATCAAACACTGGGGGAGCCTCGGGAGGTGCTGAATTGCCAGAACAACATCCAAAAAGAAGCTCAGAAGGAAAGATATGGCATACTAAAAGGTTTCTGAAATAATATAAAGTACATTATTATACATGTATTTCACAATCAATCATAAAAAGTATTTATAGACAAATTTTAGGTACATCATAGAAACATATACAGTGTAAATAGAAACTTATCTAAGTAATGAATTTGCAGATATTTTTTAATTTTTGATATAGATAATGGCCAACCTATCAATGTAATACTGTCACAGAAGACTTGGCCTCTTTTGTGTATACAGTACTAGTATTTCTCACATGAATTATAACATGAGGTCCATGGGCTACAATCCTCACCTGACTCACTGGTCTTGCTATTAATTCTTAATCAGGATTTCTCTCCAGCTCCTATGTGCAACTTTGATCTGACACTTCTGTTGGTCCCACCCTATTTTGAGAAAACTTGAATATAAACTACCAGAGAGATGCTTCCACAACAAATACTAATCATGCATTTACTATTCTTGAGAAAAGGTTAAATATTTTTTCCAATGGTTTTTCTCTGTAAAATTATGACATTACAAAAAACAGAATTTTCATATGGAAAATCCACTGAATTAACATTAAAATTAACATTAGAAACATTTAAATATTTTCTGCACCTAAATTTGGAGTTAATAAATTTCAGACCAGATGACATACCTAGTAAGATCTTCCTCTGTCATGTTCAAATCTCTGTCAGCAGATGTTTTTCTTTTCTTTCCTTTGCCCTTCCCTTTACCTTTTCCTTTGCTTGATGTTCTCTTACCTCTTTCTCTAGGTTGTGGTGAAAGGCCAGGTCCAGATGATACAGAGCCAGCGGGAGTCAGATCAGCATATGAAGGTTGAGAGTTACTAGGTCCTGCCTGTTCAGTGTCAAGTACAGATTGATTGGATGCATGAACATTTTCTAGAATTCCATCGACAAGCACTTTTATGATATCATCCTTCTTTTGCTTCATAGTAGCTTTCAAATTAAAATGCTGACATATTGAGATCAAATCCTTTTTGGTAAATGAATGTTCAGTAAAGAATTTTTCATTTTGTAAAAGTTCAGATTTTAACCTTAATAATGAAACTTCTTTATTGCTAGAGTCATCTTCTGAGAAAAATTTCATGTTGAAAGTTTTCACAACTGTTTTTGACCTTTTCATGACCTTTTTACGCAGTGCGACACTCTTCTCTTTTTTCAAAAATGTTAAGAAATCTCTTCGAAACTGACTTAAATTTACTTTGAGGAATAAAGAGACAACTGCTTGGAAAATCTCTGTGTAACTATCACAGGTCATGACCATTGAAGACAAAAGATCAGAAATATCTTCAGTTTGATTTTCATTCAATTGATTTCTCGACTTCGCAACACACTGAATCCATGTGTCAAAAATATAAGAACTATCGAGTATTTCTCCCTTAATAGAACTGAATAAATATTTTCTATCATCAACTAGCTTATCATGAGTAAGTTTTTCACGGCATAATAATTCAAGTTTTTGGAAAAAACTAAAGGTCAAATCAGACACATTAGTGAGACTCTCTCTGTCATTTTGTCTGTGTTTAACTTCAAGTAGAGTCTCCGGCTCTACTGCTGTAGCATTTAAATGATCAAATGAAGTACACAATGAATTGAGAATTTTCATTTGTGATTGAAATCTTGACAACTCTGTTTCTTTACCTTTGGTGAATAATATATTTCTGATTTTTTTTGACAAAGTATGTTTCAATTTGGCTAATATGTACCCACTTATGTACCTTAATTTCCCTTTTCCTGCAGAGTCAATTTCCAGGTCAGACTGAACAGTTAGCTTTTTTACAGGCTCAGGGGCAGATAACTGAAGATAGGAAGAAAGCTGAAGAAAAAATTCTTTCTCTATCTGAAACATAACTGCAGTTAAAAGCTGAAATGCTGGCCCTTCAGAATTTTGCTCATAATAATTAAGCAAGGATTTTGCACTTTTTTCATAATCATCTGAGTTAAGATACTTGTTGAATCTAATAAAATAATCATTTCTATGCTTCTGAGAAAAAGACATTTCCCCTTCAGGAAAAATATTCAGTCCTATGTCTTCCATTATTGAAAATTGCTCATGAAACCAGTCATCAAAATATTTATAACTTTTGCAGATTGCATCCCTGAAACTGAAAATAATTGTTTCTACTGGTGTGTCAGAATATTTCTGCACTGCAGAGTCCAAAATGAGTTTTGATTGTGAAAACTGATCAGGAAGTGCATTTTGACCAGGATCACTAAGACTATTGTCTATGAATTCTAATTCTTCAATCTCTGAATCAGAAAATTCTGAATCCTCATTCAAAACTTTTGACTCGATAGCATCATCAGTGTCTTCAGATTTATGACCAGTATCTGCTGTCAGAGTACTAATGTCAACATTATCCCTGCAACAACTTAGATCACATTTCACAATGCCAATTGAAAAACTGTCATAAAAATTGTATACATGACCTGGATGTTTTTTGCATAGATTTTTATGGAAGTTTATTACTTTCAAACCCTGAACAGATACTGCTCTGCCTATGGCAACTCCAAATTGCCCAGGCTGGATACAATTTGTGCAATCAATAACTAAATTTTTCAAGGTCATTCCCTGGGATTTGTGTATTGTCATAGCAAATCCTACTTTTAAGGGCATTTGTACTCTTTTCGCCAAAACAATTTTATCCACAGGGTCAAATATTGTGAAAATTTCTCTTGAAATGGACACTGTAATTGGTGTACTATGATTTTCCATAAATTTCACATCTACAGAATCATTACATAAATTTGTCACAGTTCCACAAAGTCCATTCACTAATGTGTCACTTAAATTTTTAATCAGCATAACAGGACAACCAAGTTTTAATCCTAGATTCTTAGGGGCCAGAAATTTGTTGAGATAGTGTTGAGAGCCCTCATCCTCAGCTTCGTACACCTTTAACTCCCCTTGAAGTGCTTGCAATTTGTTGTAATTATACAAGTCTACATCTAAATTTCTAGCAAATAAGTGTACACATGATTTCTCATTTTGTATTGGTCTATCAAGAGAAAGAAGAAATGCAACACAATCTTCTGAGAGATTTCCAATTTCAAGTTCATTAATACATTGAATCAAGAGCTGATCTTCCTGTCTGTGGATAATATTTAAGTTAATTTTGTGTTGGAAATAATTTTCAAACCAAGGTAATCTATAGCAATGATTTCCAAGATCTCCAAAAAGTTCGTTTGAAATAGGTGGGAGTTGATAAAAGTCTCCCACAAGTATCACCTGGATATTGCCAAAGATGAGTTTTGAATTTCTGACATTTTTACAAAGTAACTGAACTTGATGTAGGATTTTTGCGCTAATCATGGAAATTTCATCAATAATTAGTATTTCGGCATTTTCAATATTTTTCTTAGCAACATTGAACCTTTCATCAGTCTTTACTAAGTGTATTATTTCTTCGTTCAAGTGTCTGCCATCCTCTATCCCGGCCCATTTATGCAATGTCTGTGCCCTTAATTCACCATAATGAGTCGCGGCGATACCGGTAGAACGTACAATAGCAACATTTTTCTTCAGTTGTCTTAAATACCTTACAATTTGTTTGACAAGAAAAGTTTTTCCTGTCCCGGCTTGTCCAGTAATTATCAAGTTATGTCCAGAAGTTGCCAATTCAAATGCTCTTCATTGATCGTCGTCCATTTTTATTTCCCGTACTTTTTTTCGCAAATTTCGGCTCTTTCCGTTGGTTCTATTACATTCGGAACTCTCCGAGTACAGAAGTGGAGTTATCGTTCCTGTAGTAAATTACTACGAGGTGTCGTTTTTTCGTCACTTCCGTAATTTCTGCTTTGACATTTCTGGATTTTTGGCGTTTGACGGTTAATAAAGGGATAACAGAAAAATGTTTGGTTGATAAAATGGCACGATTTACGACAAAAACCTCTACCGAATTAAGGCATGACTAGACATTTTGGTGACATGTAATAGGTATATGATATTTTAGGCCCGATATTCAAGAGGGGTCCGAATTAACAACCCGAAGTGACTTACCTTCTCTATTTTATAATACCAGGGTATGACTTTTTTCGTAAATCGTTAAATCTATGTTATTTTTTGGGTTTTTCATATGGAATACATTGTAAATAAGTACTAGAAACATAATTCTTGAGAAAAAAAAGAAAAAAGAAATATTTTGACCAGGGGTGTATATGGGGGGGGGGGGGGGCCTGTCCACAAGTACCTGTGATCGTGATTTGGTAATTATCACCCGATATGGAAATTTGCAAGAACATAAATTTTTCTATAAATATATCAATAATAGGAGTAATCGAATAACCACTATAAATACTGGTTTTGTTTTTATCCGTTTTAATTTTTTAATCTTTTCAACTATTTACAGACAAGAGAAATGTCGGCACTGAAACATCTCTACTTCGGAAAGTGCAAAGAGAGGTCAATTATTCATATTCCACAATGATTTAAGATTTTTATTTGGACTGATTAAAAGTATTACTTAGCAATTTTTGATCTGAAAAAGGAAAAATTACACAACGTACTAAACATACTAAAAACAATCAACCAAAGGAATGGCAAAGATTTTGCCCTGCCAAACCTTAATTCAACAATTTTCAATAAAGATGAATGTCCTGAGAAGAGGATATGACCGAGAACAAAGGATTAACTGGAGTTGTTTGTGGCTTCGATTATCTTAAACTAGAAGTCTCTGTCGAGACTGTAGCTCTACTGGTTTGTACTTATAACAAAAGATGAGAAAAGAAGCCATTGCCATCAGACCAAAACTGTAGAAGGAGTAGCTTTTTAAAGGAATTGCACAGAAAATTCTATTTTTAGTAACCATGGCAACACTGTTCATCGAAATCAAAAACCGATGCACTATTTTATGTATCTTAATATAGTCTACTTGTGTGCCAAGTAATATTGAAATCAAACAAAAACTATAGAAGGAGTAGCGTTTTAAAGGAATTTCACAGAAAATTCTATTTTTAGTAACCATGAACACATCAAGACGAATCTTCAATAATTTTCACTTTTTTTTAACAAGCTGCTTCAGGAATATTTGACAAATCTCTCAGCTGGTCGTAAAACGCACGCTTGTATTTTTGCACACCGTTTAAACTTCTATGTCCGGTCCTGCTCATGATTTGCTGCTCGTCTAAACCGCTCTGGTACAACTGGGTTGTACGTTCTTTTTCCCGACTAATTCGTGAAATTTCCCTCTAACCCTGCTTTGTTGCACATTTCTTTCATCAAATTTTCAAGCCTATTCACACCTATATTTTGCTTGGAAAATTTGAGTATTCCAGGAATAGGGCGTTTGTAGAATTTTCCATCTTTGTCACCAATTAGATCAATGTAAAAAGTGTACAAACGGACAGGAACAAATTGTTTAATGTTTTTGACGTCAACATTGTGATGTTTTAACCCACATTTAAAGGTTTTGTTTGCACGTCCCACGAACTGTAGGAACTTGCCAGTGTCGTCCTTGCCTTCTTCAAACTACCAAATATCTAGCTCGTGATGCTCATCTCTACCCCTCAATCCAAATAGCTTGTAGTTGTAGAAAAAACTCCATATAGCAATGCCTCGCTGGATTTATGACCAATAACACCGGATGTCCAAAGCCGTTCTTCCTGGTCGCGGCTGATTGGGTCTGCTTGGAGTACAGTTAAACCTTAACCTATGAAAAGGAGTAAACAGTAAAAATGGCTATTCGAAGGAGAGAGAGAAAGAAGCAAAGGACTGATTGACAAAACATTTAAATTAATAAAGTTTATATAGAAATGTGCATATCTTTAGATGTTAAAAACTTCATCTGGGCGTCAAGGCTCAATCGAAATCTGATAAAACGGTCATCCTTTTCGTTTTTAAAGTTCAGCGTATTTCCGTTTTCTCGCATGTAGCGCAGAATGCCCGTTGTTAAAAGATAGAGTGATTTAGGAGGGTAAAAGTCCTCATCACGTTTTCTTACTTCAACTATGAACCTCAAGAGCCGTCTGTTTATGTCATCCACGGAAAAATGGTCCAAAGTTGGAATATTTTCAAGTGCAGTATTTCGTGAAATGCGCCAATCATTAAACACACGAACTGCCCATGTGCCCATGCTGTACTTTTCTTAGTGTTGGCCGGAGTTGTCCCGGAGATTAGTTCATCCAAAAATTCGTCTTTGACTGGATTTCCGAATTTCAACGAATTCTCTGTAAGGGAACACGTATCCTGAATGGTAGTTACTTCCATGCTAGAATGGCTGGCTCCCGTTTCTCTGCTCTCAGACTGATATCCAAGACAAAAAGTCATGCCCGCAAAATTAGATATCATGCACTCTGACTTAATTTAGTCCAGTTCTATACGATCGGCGATTTGACTTAATGTAAATTTTTCATCTTCATCCCAAAGTTCATCGCCCAAAAATGGCAAAAGTTCCATGAAATCAAGATCGTCAATTTAACCTCTATCGTGTTTCTTAACTCGAAACACTTCGTCTCGTGAGGTTAAACCCAGGGTCGTGAAACCCAAACCATGGTATAATTAACAATACACCACAAAACAGTCAAAATTGTATGGTTTATCTATTACTTAATCACTATAATAATAAAGGACAAAAATGTTAATTGTACTTTGTAAGCGATATTCCATCTGCGGCGATCTGCCCTTGAATTACCTCATACTGTCCCCTTCTCTAATTTGAATTTCCAGCAATGACCAGAAAATGCAGTTTCAATTTATATTACTGATTTAAACTTTCCCCTTTCAAATTCGATTCCACGTTACTCCTTTGTCAGCGATTTTCGAGAATAAGAGAATGACCATGATAAATCAATTTGTATTCAATAATGCGGGATTAAATATGTCTAAGATATATCGTTTATGATAAAATTTGTAAAGAAAGGGTGGACTTAACTGGCCAGAAAAAATGCCGTAAATTTAAGTTTCATAAAATCTTTATTTTTTTCCATCATATAAACCCCCGATATCTTAACTGTGTATTCATGGTACGGACGTGAATTTAAAACGATCTTTTCGAAGTAAACTAAATAGATATCGAAGGCATGGTGCCTGAAGATTTCTTGAATATCAATAGATAATCAGGGTCAC